GAAACAGAGAAGTCTAATTAAACAAGAATATAACTTACAGTGGTTGCTGCGTCAATAGGTAATGTCGTCACCAGGTCCAGATGCACACTGAGTTCATCAGATTTTAAATGCGGTATTTAAATGCTTTTTAAGGTACAAAATGACTGAGTCACGCGGTTGTACTTCACGCTATCAATAGACTGGCCGTGCCTATATTAATGCAGGCTTGAGTGCTGAGACCTGTAAAGCAGGTTTCGCCTGAGCAGATCTGAGATTTAAAATCTCTCAAACGCGATTTAGCCGTTTACGCTACAATAACAATTTATACAGAGTCGAATAAATGAAACAGAGAAGTCTAATTAAACAAGAATATAACTTACAGTGGTTGCTGCGTCAATAGGTAATGTCGTCACCGGGTCCAGATGCACACTGAGTTCATTAGATTTTAAATGCGGTATTTAAATGCTTTTTAAGGTACAAAATGACTGAGTCACGCGGTTGTACTTCACGCTATCAATAGACTGGCCGTGCCTATATTAATGCAGGCTTGAGTGCTGAGACCTGTAAAGCAGGTTTCGCCTGAGCAGATCTGAGATTTAAAATCTCTCAAACGCGATTTAGCCGTTTACGCTACAATAACAATATAACAATATACAAATCGGGTTGGTCCGGTCCAAGGTCTTTAAGCAACAGTTTATCTCCCAAACTTCTCCTTTCGAAAGGATTGGAGATTAGCTCTTGAACGGAATTGGGCGGGGACCGAGGTCCGGCGACTCCACCTGCACACAAAGCCATTCTCATCCAACTACTGCGTCACCTTGGTCACTCACAAGTCTAAAAAACAACTCACGTCAACGCACGTAAGCAACGTGGGCGCCAACGTGAGCGCCCTCGTGACCAAAATATTTGACGCCGCTGATTGGCTAAAATTATGTTTCGGCGGCACAGTTTACTATTGAGACTTTTGCAAAGTGCTGGTTGCTGCTGTTTGGCTCGGGAGCTCCTTGCACGGCGCCCGGTAATGATAAACTAATGCCACGGGCAAGGCCAGGCAGGAAACATGTGACTTATCAGTAACTTTAGACATCGTAACACAATTTTAAACGAGATTTTATTGTAGATTATACATTTTAATGATGCCAATTGTATGATATTTACCTTGTTCATTAAAAATAAAAATAATAATTTTTTTTTTAAATATTTTTTTTTATATTTTGTTTTGTATGTGGGAATAGGTGGGGCGGCGCCCCTAGCGCCCCTATGGGCCGGCCGCCACTGCTGCTAGATGAGGGCAGTGGGGGCTCTTCTTGGAGTCTGTTTTAAAAAAAATAAAAATAAAAGTTCATTAGTGAACTTTGAGCCATCATTTATTTTGCAGGCAGCTCTCTGCCTCTCTCAGGTTATTATGGCGCGCGCCGGAACCAACAATCAGTTTTTACCGTAAATGAGTTTGGTTCAGAGGACAAAGCACATACAACATTAATTAAACTCGATATTTGTTCACTTGAATTTCACTTTGAATAATTGGATATTCTCAATGGGTGAATACATTTTTTTTTAATAATAATAATAAAATAATTAAACAAATAAAATAAAATCTTTTTTTTTTTTTTTTATTACACCGAAGCTTTCTCAGGGTGGGCCAATTAGTAAACTGGGTGGGCCTGGGCCACTGCCCCCCACAGTTCAATGGGATACAGGAAACACTCCTGTCCTCCCAGAAGCTATGTCTAGCGCTCCAATCCGAGCTGCTGGAACTCCTGTTGAAAGAGGATATTTCCAGGGTTCCTCAAAGGGAGGAAAATCAGGGATTTTCACTCCCGTTATTTTTCTAATCCCGAAAAAGACTGGGGGAATGAGACATCCTCGATCTGTCAGTATTCCACATGCTGACGATCAAACAGGTGCTGGAATGTGTTCACCAGGACGACTGGTTCACTTCTACCTGAAGGATGCATACTTCCACGTACCCATCATCCCGAAACACAGGAAATTCCTGCGTTTTCTCATTTCAGGGAATATCAGACCAGACAATAGTCTGCCGTTCGGATATTTCCTGACTCCTCGCTTTTTTGTGTAGAGAAGGCTGGAGCCACTACACAGAGGAGGGATGAGAGTGTGGTTTTCTCTGGACGACCTGCTATTTGCTGGCTCGCTCCAGGGAGGAAGTCGCTTTACAGACGGTCAATCTCGTATCGCATCTGTCAAAGCCTGGGTTTCATAATAAATTGGAAGAAGAGCTGTCCTCTTCCCTCTCAGACAATCGTTTATCTGGGAGTGGAATTAAACTCAGCCAGCATGAGAGCGCGGCTCTCGCGGCAGCGAGTGAAGGAACTGACAGCTCTCCTCCGGCATGTCACAACCCACACAGCCCTCTCCGTGATGCTGCTGCTCGGTGTTCAGCTGGTCACGTGATGATACCCCTGGGTCTCTTCCAACAGGGGGACACTCCAGAGGTGGTTCATTCGCTGCAGAAGTCTGCTGTTTTTAACCTATTGGTTTATAAACTGCAGAGCTCGCGGCATTCCTCTGTCCCAGATATGCCTCCTACACCTACCTACCTTAAACTGTTGTCAGCCAAAGTAGTATTACTTTTGTCTCTATCAGCGAAAAGGGTGAGTGATTTGTCTGCTCTCTCTGTGGCTCCGTCATGCCTCCGGATCCAAGGAGATGGCAGTTCAGCTGTTTTACGCCCTAACCCGGCTTCATGCCTAAGGTCATCACAAGCTCTTTTAGAGTCGAGAGTGATCACCTTGGATGGCTTCTTTCCCCCTCCTCACAGGTCGTAGGAAGAAGCCGCGTCTCATCTCCTCTGTCCTGTGCACGCGCTGTCCTGCTAGTGGCGCGCACGGCTGCCTTGCGCCATTCTCAGCCCCTGTTTGTACATTATAGAGAGCATTCGATCGGGCAGCCTCTGTCTGCACAACGGCTGTCACACTGGCTGTGTGAAGCTGTGTCACAAGCATACAGTATGTCTCCTCATGGGGTGGATCCCCCGGAGAACATCAATGCGCACTCCACCAGAGGAATGTCCTCCTCCACGGCTTTGCACGGAGGAATGTCAGTGGAAGACATTTGCACTGCTGCATCTTGGTCATTTATTCAATTGTATTTGAGGGATGTCTCCAGGGTCGGCGTCATGGGGGGTCATTCGCGGGCCATGCCCCCCCAAATGAGTCACTGTGCCCACCCAATGCAGGGTGGGCAAGCCTTGCCACTTTGCCGTTTAAAAAAAAAAAATCATATAAGTGAAAACGTTTCCACTAAAGGTTTTTTGTGTGAAATACGTCAGAAATAAAGAATACAAATATAAAACACAGCCTGAGGTGTGCTCACTGCTGCTCTCTGATTGGTGTGTTGCTTGACCAATGACCCCCGACCTTTGTTTTGTTATCATTACGTGGCTGTGTGTTTAGATGAAAGCCCAGTGGCGATCTGTTCGTCTGTTACACTGATTATACAGTAAAGCCATCGAAAATAATATGATATACAGTACAAGTAGCCTACTTCTGGGTCTCTGTGTTTCATTCAAGCTCGGCTGTGTGTGTGTGTGTGTGTGTGTGTGTGTGTGTGTGTGTGTGTGTGTGTGTGTGTGTGTGTGTGTGTGTGTGTGTGTGTGTGTGTGTGTGTGTGTGTGTGTGTGGTGTGTGTGTGTGTGTGTGTGTGTGTGTGTGTGTGTGTGTGTGTGTGTGTGTGTGTGTGTGTGTGTGTGTGTGTGTGGTGTGTGTGTGTGTGTGTGTGTGTGTGTGTGTGTGGTGTGTGTGTGTGTGTGTGTGTGTGTGTGTGTGTGTGTGTGTGTGTGTGTGTGTGTGTGTGTGTGTGTGTGTGTGTGTGTGTGTGTGGCACGAGCGCATTTTGTGAGTGCGCGAGCGGTAACGTGGAATGTTAATGTTAGTATCTGGTTAGCTAGCTATGCTAACGGATATAAACAGCTGTTTCTACACCAAGGTGGAGGAGAGTCCTCTCCTGTCAGACTGAGAGGATCGTATAACCTCAGCTCAGTGAGGTAAGGACTCTCAGTGTTTAGATAGTTCACTTTAGTGTAGGTTATCTCAGTGGGTCCATGCCCGGCGCCGTGGGAGGGCCAGGCCCTCCCATTTGACATTCCTGCCCTCCCCCAATATACACGTTTTTTATTATTTATAACATTTAAAAAAAAAAAATTTTTTTAATTATAAATAAACTGTGAACTGTTATGCTACGATGTATCTGATGTCTACGGAAGAGGATTAGGGCCACATAAAAAATTTTTTTGTGAGGATTTGAAAAAAATATTATTATTTTTTGTTCTGAGAAAAAAGTCAGAATTCTGACTTTAATCTCAGAATTCTGAGATTAAAGTCAGAATTCTGACTTTAATCTCAGAATTCTGACTTTAATCTCAGAATTCTGACTTTTTTCTCAGAACAAAAAAAAAAAAAATTATTTGGGAGAATAAAGTCAGAAATACCGGTAACTGTCGAACCAGCTTCACTGCGATTTACACATTGCAGTAGGCAACAATGGAGGACGTGAGTGAATTTCTGCGCGCCAGAGGGGTCCAAGAGGAAACCATATTGCAAATGGAAGAACAAAAGGTGAGTTATAAATATATAAGTGTGTTTTGGGCGTTCGTAAAAACAACGAAAAGGCGTTAGAATATGAAATGCAGACATTGATGAGCTAGCAGCAAGTGCATTAGCTTATATGCTATGGCTCCCCCCATCTAATTCAGTAAATAATGGTTTAGTTCGTTGACACGCAAGTTTGTGCTTGTTGGAACAGTGGCGACTAACCAAGAGCAACAGCCTGGTGGTTTTCATGTTTCTGTAGAGAAGATTTCATTAAGTGTGTTTAACAAGGCAGCTAGCTGACAATCAGAAGGCTATTAACCATCAAAATGATCAACATCTCAAACATCATCTCGTCTAGAATGGAGTAAGACAGTTGTGGTTGTGGCCCACAACCACAACTGTCTTACTCCATTCTAGACTTGTTTCATAAAATGCGTATTTTTTTACAATATATATATATATATATATATATATATATATATGCCTATATATACGCATTTTATGAAACAAGTTAGTGAGGTTAACAGTAAGAATGTTTAACACTTTCTGGCTTTAAATTAAAGGTAGGATTTGTGTTCCTGCATATAAAGTGTTCCTGATAAATAAGATCCGTACTCCGTAATGGACACTTTTACTGAGCATATACTGTGTAAAATAGGAAGAAGAGTCTTAACCTTACAATATTTAAACAATATATTTTCTTTTCTTTTTTGCAGATTAAAAGCAACGTTATTGTCTGATGTACAATTCAACTGCCATATTACAACCCCTCCTACGAATACCAAATTGTCCTCTTTATATTCTGCATTACATCAGTTTGCTGCGCTGCTCACAACAATGCCTGCAGAGCCAGATTTGGATGACTTAATTAAACTATACTTCAGACTTTCCCTAAGTAACAAAGAAATACTTGCTATTTTGGCACACACTAATCACATTGTAATTAGTGTCCGAACATTAAAGAGAATTTGTAAAAGACTTAACCTGTTCAGGAGGAAGAACCAGTCTGACTTGGAGGAAGTGCTAGCTTTTGTACAGCATGAGATCATGACTAATGGACAGATGCAGGGATACCGTTGGCTTCATCTCCGTGCAATTCAACAGGGCCTTGTTGTGTCACAAGATAGCATAAGACGCATCATCAAACTGGTTGATCCACAAGGTGTGGAATTAAGACGAGCCCACCGCTTGAGAAGACGTCAGTACAGATGCAGAGGGCCAAATGCACTTTGGCACATGGATGGTTATGATAAACTAAAGCCCTATGGCATTGCCATCAACGGCTGTATAGATGGTTTTAGCCGCTATGTGTTATGGATGGAAGCCTATATCACAAACAGTGATCCTAAAGTAGTTGCAAGTTACTTTATCAAAACAGTTTCAGGTATAGGTGGATGTCCAGAGAGGATTCGTGCAGACAGGGGCACGGAAAATGTTTCTGTTGAAGAAATGCAGATGTTTTTGCGAAGGAACCACCCAGACAGTTTTGCTGGGGAGAGAAGTTTCCTTTATGGAAGAAGCACAGCAAACCAGCGCATTGAAGGATGGTGGGGTATACTCCGCAAACAGAGTGCGCAGTTCTGGATGAACCTGTTCCAAACTCTCCAGGAAGATGGCCACTTCACAGGAGACTTTTTGGACAAAAGTCTTATCCAATTCTGTTACCTTAATCTTGTTCAGGTAAAATATTTTATTTATTTCTGAGATTAGTCATTAATAAAAGTAGTATGAGTAATAATAATATTATAATTCACTATGTTCGTGGACATTGCAGCAACCTCAGCCTCCATCTAGACAGGTAGAAGTTATGTCCGAAAGCTTCTTAAGACATGTCGTCTACATTTACTGTGCTTTTTTTCTATGCAGGATGAACTTGATGAAGTGGTCAACACCTGGAATTCCCACAAAATCAGACCAAGATCAACTGATGACACAGCATCTGGTCGGCCAGTGATTATGTACTCATTCCCAGAGTTGCACAGTGCTGAGGATAGACTCAAACCTATTGCCATGGAGGAGGTCAATTTGTGTATGTTAGAGTGTACTCCCAAAGGCCAGTTTCCGTGCGATGAAACTGTTTTTGAACTGTGTTGTCTACTCATGGCGGAAAACGGATGGGATGATCCAGCAGATCCATTTGCTGCAGCTGATCTATACATCCTGTTACGAGATGAAATACGACGACAAGTATTTGATTAATGGTACATGTAGCGTACATGTCATTATGCAAAACACAAAATACTGTTCAGGACAAAACTGACCTTAAAAAATAAGTAATTATTTAGTCAAAAATGTATCAATAAAAATCATAGTCAATGGTATTTCATGTATTCCTTAAATGTTTGTCTCAACACTATTTTCATTTTTCTTTACAGCTTTTCAACAGTTTTTTTTTAATGGTAGCCTACTGTATGTATGGGCCAAATCTTTGTTACATGTTTCTACATTGTATACACAAATAATGTACCATGTGTTACACAATGGTAACAACTGATTGCTAATTTTCACTCAGTTGCCAGATTATTTCATGTGCGCTCTAAAAACAGTAAGGGACCAGTCATTAATATTGCCATGTAGTTTGCTGCAACTGAGAAGGCCTTGCTTACACTGGACAAACTTCCTCCTTTAAGAAAGGATAACAACGCCATTCGCTGACATAACAAACCTGCTAGTGCCATTTATTGGTGAATACAAACATCACTTTAGAATGACTTATTGATTGCCACATGCATACAATAATGAACATGTTAATTTTTCAGTATAACTCCATTGTTTTTACTAAAAATGTCTGATCACATTCTTGCAAAAGTGTAAGCACAAATTGAATGATTTAAGCAATAGATACATCGTTCACACCTTTTTGCATAACACATTAATTAAATGGATCAGATTGTCTTTATGCAGTAACACATTTTATTTATTTCAATTACTTATATTTCAAAATGTGGTTACATTTATGTATTCTCGGAACTCAATGAAACAATTTAGCCGTAATAACTTGAGGTGAACAGACTTTGGGAAGCTTGGTTGTGAGTTCAATAGGAGCACATTTGATCCAATGCTGATACAATGAGTATGTCAGTGCAGTATTCATCATATGTTCTCAGTATTGATATACATCAGTCTTTTACCTGTATCACCATAACATTACAACCTAGTGTTGGCAAAAATAAACAATTAACTTTATTAAGACAATAAAGGATACCATTTCTAGACAATTAAATACACATTTGTAAAAAAGGCATCAAGAACTCAAAGCATAGATAAACAGAATGGTAGTGTTCTTAATGAATTTTCAATTATTTTATCATTGTTTTTAATGCCACATGACTAATTAAATTCTCACATTAGTGTCAAATATGAATTACTATAAGATATTTTAGAGAAGTCTTGGAACAACTATTGTAAAGCTTATTTATTCAATCACTTTATACCCATAAGAATAGGAAACTTTATCAACATTCAATTGAAGGCCTGCATACAAATGTGGTGTAAGAAAATACATTTGATTCACAATGTAACCTTAACTTACATTTCAATGTTAAAAGTAACATTTAACAAAACATGAGAATTCCGCACAAGGATGACCGGAAAATTACAGCCCTTTTGCTTTGCTTTTTTTTTTTTAATTATTGGTTGATCCACAAGATGTGAAATATAGAAACGGAACAAATATCTGCCTGTAATGTGCCAGTGCAATAACAATTATTAAAGTATCCAAAAATAAAAGATAGGTTTTGTTGCACACAACAATGCCTGCAAAACAGATGTTGAGACTTAATACAATTTACCTTCAGAATGTCTTTCAGTATCAAAGCAATACTTGCAATCTTAGTAAAAAGCAAACAATTGTAATCATAACTTCTCATAACTGAGATAACTGGTAGAAGACTAGTTCAGTCTGTTTATATGCACATCTGAGAGGTGTGTGTGTGTGTGTGTGTGTGTGTGTGTGTGTGTGTGTGTGTGTGTGTGTGTGTGTGTGTGTGTGTGTGTGTGTGTGTGTGTGTGTGTGTGTGTGTGTGTGTGTGTGTGTGTGTGTGTGTGTGTGTGTGTGTGTGTGTGTGTGTGTGTGTGTGTGTGTGTGTGTGTGTGTGTGTGTGTGTGTGTGTGTGTGTGTGTGTGTGTGTGTGTGTGTGTGTGTGTGTGTGTGTGTGTGTGTGTGTGTGTGTGTGTATAGGGAAAGTGTGTATGTGTATCTACTTGTTTAGAAGAACCAACCAGTCCACCACTTGAAACTTTAACAAGACATTTGGTATCAAGGCAATGTGACACCTGAGGAAACATTTGATCATACAACATTTTAAGCATTATTTTAAGATTATGTCTTAATTACTTTTTACACTAGTATAAAATATGTTCTAAATAAACAAGATGTGAAATATAGAAACGGAACAAATATCTTAAAAATAATGCTTAAAATGTTGTATGATCAAAAATTACACAAAAAGTAAGAGGGAGCAAACAGTACATTGTATTTTACAACTGTCTGTTTCCATATAAGAACAATGAAGCATGCCACTGTTCTTGTTTGAATCCTTAAACATCTTAGCAGTATTAAAAGGTCTTGAATTACATGAACAAATTACATTTCTGTCAAGTCAGGTTTGTGTTCTGCAACTGGAGAATAATAGTCAATATGCAAGTTTGTTGTAGTTTGTGAACACACCACCAAGTTTGTGTAGTGAAAGATGGGCTCCCTTCTGGCCAGCTGGACTTCTCTATAACTATTAAAGGTCCTGGTGAAGTGTTTCCCAAATATACAGTATAGCACACCATTACTTGCAATTCTGCACAACTACTTCGAACATGAAAAACTCTTAACAGTTTGGATTGGTTTGGTTATTGTTGTTGGAGTCTAAACAATGTCCATAACCCACACATTGCTCTCAAGAACTGCATTGAATTCTGAACGGAAATCTGGGAAGTTCTCATAGCTGTCAGCTATGTGCAGAATATTCCCACATGTGTGTGCAATCGGTCTTCTTGTGAACTCTGTCATTTTCTCAAATCCCACGTAGATGCTGTCTGTCACAATGAGATCAGATCCTGTGCAGAACCGTAGAAACTTCTGAAGTTTACTCTCATCTAGCTCTCTGATGAATCTTTTCAGATGATTTGCTACCTCTTTTTGGTTTGTAGTCAAATCAACATCAAATTTCAGTAGTTTGCAGACTTTTTTTGTGGTGGGTTGCAGGTCAGACAACAACTTAGTCAGTGCCTCTGGACTGAGGTTGAGATGTTGATGGTTAATCTCCCTCCAGCAGTCAATAACGAACATTGGTTTTTGGACCATCTCTTTGTGGGCAATTTCTTCAATTATTTTAGGAAGATTCTCTGCGCTGACTTTCCTTCTACAGCCATAGCTGTCGAGAACCTCCAAAAGGTCATCAGTGTCAACTGCAGTGAAATCAGTCAGCGCTTGCATCAAAACTTCACGTTCTTGGCTGCTCACAAATTGCATAAAATATGCTTTGAGGTCACTGTACACATTATCAAACAGCACCTGTTCAAGGAAAGGCAGTGAAAGTTTGTTTGGGAAATATTCACAATCTTGGTAACCTTTCAAAAGGATTCTTCCAATTGCCTTCCATGTTTCAGCAGGAAAATCATGGCGAATGAAGGGCACTTTAACTGTTGTCCCAAGTGTGCATCTCTCATAGAATTCTTGCCAGAAGCAGCTGAGAACATCCCTCAGTACCCCAGAACCACTGCCTGCTTCTTCCTTGTTATCTGGGAGAATGCGCCTCACATTCAATGATTTGTTTAAAATCTCTGCATCAGAAAAGGCAGTAATCATGTCAGCTAGGGTGTTTGCATGATGTACAGTGATTGTTAGTTGTTTCTCTGCCTCAAGTGGACTGGCGGGGACAGGAACATTCTCAAATATGAGTGTGTCTTCTTCATCTTCCTCGATGCCGAAATGAGGACCAAAGGTGATTTCAGGATCACTAGAAATGTTTAGTGATCGCTGTATGTCGTCCAAAACAATAATGACATCTGTGTAGTCGTCATTTTCACCCGAGACAAGATTAAACTCAGAAGTCTCTTCAACTGTGTCGCTGTCAGCGTTTGCAGAAGGTTTTCGCTTTGTGGCAATGTAAAATCGCAACATTGTCATTTGCACAGTTTCGTACATTGTGCTAATTGAAGGGCATGTTTCAGCTGTAAGGCAGTTTTGTTTAAAATCCCACACCTCAAAGTCGAACTCTGATTCAGGTCCTTTAGGTGATATTCCATCAGGAAAAAATAGTGTCTTTCCTGTTTCAAGGATTTCATTCAAACCAGCATTAGTTGATAGTTTAATTGTTCTAGTGCCACCTCCTTGTTTTGCCCTTACTTGTTTGGTTGTGTTAGTGTCATTGTGAATCCAGCCTATTTCAATATTTCTTGTGGCTTTCAGCTTCTTTGTCTGTGTTTTTCTTGTTTCTGTACCTGATGCGTTTCCTTGAGAACTTTCCGATCTCACTGTCATTTTTTCCCTCAGTCTTTCATAAAGGCCTTTTTTTCGCTTTGATGTGGGCCTTTTACTTCTACAATGATTAAAGATGGCTATTCGGTCTCCGTAGGAGGGGATGTATTTTTGAAGAGTGGCATCATCCATAAGACCAATGACGTCGCTGTCAATCTGCAAAGAAGAAAGAAAAGAAAACACAATGAAGTTTGTGCACATTGTATAACTATTGTCAACCCTTGTACATCGTTATATATAGATATATACTATTTTGCCATTTCGCAGACCAAATCAGTCCTGTTCATAATACAAAACATTCATTAATTTTCAGAATATTAACCCTTAAAAAGCCAGTTTTTGCCATGATGGTACTGTTGTCACTTTATTAGAAAAAAACAGAAACTACTAATTTCCCTGGTTACCCTAAAGTTTATAACCTTCACATAAGTATAACCCTTAAGTGTTTTTAAAGTGGATTATTACAGCCGGAGACTCGCAACGGCGGTGGACTTTCACAGCACCGCTGCACCGGACCTGCCGGAGCCACCAGAGCATCGCAACGGCGGGTGTTTGCGGCGGCGGATGCGGTACCGGCGCTGTGAAAGTCCACGGCCCACCTATGCCAGAGCCAGCGGCCCACCAACGGCAGCTTTCAGTAACGTTAACGTTAGAGACTGACATGATACGCAGCGATACTAGATACAATTACCAACACTGTCCTGCTGTTTTAATCTCCTTCAGACAGTACAGCAGGATTCATATTCATATGCTGATAATTCTGTGATTGTGGGATACAAGGACAATGGCCCAAACCCCTGTGGTAACAATGCTACAGTACCGAGAGGGGTTTTACTGGGCGAATTTTGG